ACATGCTATTTACAGGAGAAACAGAGCTTCTTCACAAAATTCAAACTTTAAAAGCCAAGTAATACTAGCTAATGCAAGTGGAACCACTCAGTCACAGAATGCCTTGCAAAGCAGATACTATAATTGAATTAAACAGTTCTTCATTAGCCACTTGATATTGAAAACGTGGGATCTCGATAAGCCTCAGAAATATCCTCATAAAATGAGCCTCTCAGCTTTTACTTAAAAATATTCTCCACAGATAGCAATGACTGCGCTGTCAAGTAATAACTGAGCTCCTAATTTATTCCAATAATCTGTCACCTTGAACATCCACACTGTATAAGTGCTATTCACTCCTAAGCTCTCTTTTAGAGTAAGCCAACGAGTTTCCTATAAAACAAACAAAAAAAGCTGTGGTTCTGGGGTAGCTCACTTCAATAAGCCCTCCTGAAAAGCAGAAGAGTCCATGAGGTTGACTACTGTACCAGTAAGAAAGTGCACTCCTTCCTACACGCTGCTTGGACGCTATCCTAACAGACCCTGACTTCTTAAGCATCTCCATGTTCTCTTGCTACTGCACTGAGTACGCAACATAGATCCTCAGTTTCACACTTAAAACACCATCCTGGCAGTTGGAGGATAACAGTCACTTTCTTCCCCAGATTCAGAGTGTCTGAAGGAACCACAACTAAGCAACTGCATCTTCAGGTTGCAGGATCACCCAGGCCCACAGGAGACCTATGACCAACTGCTACGTGGAGCGTCCACAGCCAGTCTTCTCTGCAGGCTCGTCCTCCGCAGAGTGGACATAAGCACTTGGCCAGAAGCTGAATGTGTTTTACAGTCTGTGGGTTAATCTCAGTCTTTTTAGACTCCATCATAATCACAGCTTTCTTGAGGTAAGCAAATAAATAAGAAACCATTCTCAACCTCTTAGGATTTTTTGTTTTCCTGGTAGGACTAAGCTTCTCACTTCCTCACAGTCCAAATCACTTATAACACAGCAAAACAAGACAACAACACTTAGCAGATTGTACATTGCTCATTGTGAAACATTGCTCAGCTTCTATTCATAACACCTTCTACAGCTCTGTCACGCGCTAGGAAAAAAGACTAGAATATTTGGAAAAAAACCCAAACACCAACATTAATTCTTTGAGAGATTTACTTATGCAGAAGTTTCCAAAATTAAGGATATAATTTAGTAAAACACAAGTTTTACTAAACACAAGCTTTAAGAAATGTGGCAAAATAAACGAGTATTAGTTGCACTGATAAACATAATTTATTTCATAATGAAATGATGTCTTTTCAAACCTAGGATATAAATATGTCTCTGGTTTGCAACATCAGAACTGTTTCTAGCTGCTTTAGAGAGGGAGCAAGTCTGGAGCACTGTGGTTCGCGTCATAATCTGGACTGTACCTGGGAACACCACCATCAGCTCTTCAGAAAGCTGGGCTGATAAAGAGCATGCCTCAGAAGCACATGATAACCAGCAGCACAACAAGCTGGTCTACTTTCTACAGTGGCTTCCCACAGGGTATCATGTCATGTAAGCTCTTTATCTTCACCTGCCAGGCTCAGTGCTTCTAAAGATCCCATAAAGCTCTGGAGTATCTACTGTGGATCATCAAAAAAGCACAACAAAAATTACCTGAAAATTCCTTATGACTGACAGAAGCAATACGACCACTGTAAGTGACCAGTAAAAGGTGGGGCAACAATGACCTAAGAAAAAACCCAAGGTCAAGAAATGTTTTTGCAACTACAACTTGAGGAACGCTATGGGAAGGCACCAACACTCAAACGTGCATTTCTCTAATTATAGCCAGCTTGTCTCCAAAGTAGCTCTAGTCACTAAACAAGGAACCGTCCCAACCAATTCAGATGATATTTTATAAACTTTTCTTCAGTAAGGAAATAAGGAAACTGTCAACTCCACAGATAAATAAAATAAAATTTAAACTTGTTGTGGTTTAAGCCTGCAGGCAGCTAAACACCACACAGCCATTCACTCACTCCCCCCCAGTAGGATGGGGGAAAGAATTAAAAAAAAAGGGAAAAAAAAAGGTACAACTTGTGGGTTGAGATAAAGACAATTTAATAGGACAGAAAAGAAAGGGAAAATAATAATGATAAAGGCATAAAGAAAACAAGTGATGCACAATGCAATTGCTCACCACCCGCTGACTGACGCCCAGCCAGTTCCTGACCAGCAGACCTTCGGCCAGCTTTTCCCCTAGTTTATATGCTGAGCATGACGTCATATGGTGTGGAATATCCCTTTGGTCAGTTGGGGTCAGCTGTCCCGGCTCTGTCCCCTCCCAACTTCTTGTGCACCCCCAGCCTGCTCGCTGGTGGGGTGGGGTGAGAAGCAGAAAAGGCCTTGACTGTGTCTAAGCACTGCTCAGCAGTAACGAAAACATCCCTGTGTTATCAACACTGTTTCCAGCACAAATCTGAAACATAGCCCCATCCTAGGCTAGCTACTAGGAAGAACATTAACTCTACCCCAGCCAAAACCAGGACAAAAGTACATTCACACACTTTACAGATGCATCAAGAAGTGAATATACTTCAGAAACATTGTTGCCATTTCTTTAACACCTCTCATCTTTGAGAAAAAAAATAAGAAATTGACTAAATGTTTTGTATACTACGAAAAAAATCACTCATCCTAATATTTGCAAGAGCACCAGCCTTACCAGATCCTCTTTCAAATCTTTTCCTATTTAGTTTGCTGTCAAATACCAGGAAAATTTTCATCTGAAGTTCAACTGTAAAAATATTTCAGGGCTAAGACCGCATCTTGCTTTCATATAAGTGAGATGCCTGCTACATTTTTGGATGCTTTTAAAATGCATTGGTCCTACTGAAAAAACAGAAGGACCAATAAAACAAACAAAAAGCTTCTATGTGTAATAGATTTTTATCTTACTTTTCACAGCAAAGCATCAGAGGGCTAGTAACTACTCCTCAGTTGCTTCTGCCTATGCACGTTAGAGACCATCTCTCTCTCTCTCTCTTCCAGACTGTGCTAAATTACTGGACAACAGATGGAAGGACAGTTTTATGGACGTGACCCCTTAAAATTCTGCAAGATATTAATATCCTACAAATGGCAAATTCTTTTATGATGCTCAGTGGCTGCATCCTCCTCCCCATTAGCTGAGAGGTAGTTTCTTTCAATGCACAAGATCCTGTTCCTTCACACTGCAGCCTTCCTTCCTACAGCTATTTTATTTTGCAGGATTTTCTAGAGCTGCTGCCAAAATTTTGACAACTAAGTGGCTACCATTCAGAACAGTACTCACTGGAACAGGCATGCATTGTATCATAAAAAGTCGTATTACTGAATTAATGTTGCATGCCAATTACACAGTAATTCTTGATTCACTTTTCCACACAAAGTATTAAAGAAGAAGCCGAGTTGTACTGCTCCGTTTTCAGGACCACAAGACAGATGTGGTCTTGAAAACTTGCTTTCATCTTGTATACATTAAAACAGACCACAGACTACTTTCACTGTAATTTTATTGAACAGATCAAGAAATCTGCCAATCTTAACGGTAACCCTGACCATGAAATCAGCTGAAGAATCTTCAGACTATCGTCTTCAGTGTATTCAACTGTTACGGATTACATGGCTAATTGAGTAGCTGCAAAGATTATTGATAAGATGCTTAAAACTCTTATTGAAATGCTGAAATTACATCATCGCTATGCTGTTTAAAGATTATTACTAAAGCATCACTAATGAAAAAAATTTTGTAACTGGTAAGCTTTGGCATTTGTTGGTCTGCAGTATTTTCATATTAGCAGGAAGCAGATAAAGATTTCAGGCCTTTTTCAATTGGATGATCTTCTGCAGGTTCTGAAATCTTCTAGATGGGACAACAAAAGAAAAAATTCAGTGAAAATTTTTGAGGAAGTTGTCTGTAAAGCTTTGAAGGGGGTGAGGAAACTAGTTCTTCTTTCATAGGAGCTAAACACCTGCTCAGTGGAAAAGGTAATGAGAA